GTCGGCGGCGGCGCGCGTCCGCACGCGCACGAAGGCGAGCGTCTCGTGGCGGCCGTCCCGCGCGCGAACCCTCACCTCCTGCTCCTCCAGCAGCGCCGCCGGATCCCGCACAGAGAGGGCGCCGCTCGCCGCGTCCATCGCGAACGCGGTATCGTCGTCCCCGACGATCCCGTATTCGACCGTGTCGCCGTCCGCGTCGCCCGCGGCGACCGTCGCCACGACGACGCCGCGGTACGTCGGCAGCAGCACCTCCGCTTCGTACTGCGCCGCGGCGAAAATCGGCGCGTTGTCGTTGACGTCGTCGACGGCGATGTGAACGCGCGCGTCGACGACGGTGCGTCGCCGCGGCGACCCCGCGTCGCGCGCGCGCACCGTGAACGCAGCCTCCGCCTCGCGCTCGCGGTCGAGCGGGGCCGCCGTCCTCACGGCTCCCGTCGCCGCGTCGACGGCGAAGCTCCGCCGCGCGTCCGCCTCGACGATCTCGTACGTCAGAACCCCGTTGAGATTCGCGTCAGCGTCCGTCGCACGCACCACCAGGGGGCCTCCCGCTCCGCCTCCGTCGTCGGCGGCGGCGGCGGCGGCGGCGGCGGGGGCGACGGACATGACGAGGGTTCCGACGGAGGCGTTCTCCGAGACGCGTCCCGCGTACGAGTCTCGCTCGAACGCCGGCGCGTTGTCGTTGTCGTCGAGCGCGCGCACGACGACGTAGGTGGCGCCGCTCGCGCCGACGACGCTCGTCGCGCGCACCGTCAGGTTGTAGACGCGCCGCGTCTCGTAGTCGAGCGCGCGCCGCGTCGTCACGACGCCCGAGTTCGGGTTGACGGAGAACGCGGGGGCGCCACCGTTGGCATCGTCGCCGTTGTCGCCGGCGACGATCTCGTAGACGACGGACGACTGGCAGCGCGCGGCCACCGCCGTCACGTACGTGCCTGAAAAACAACAAGAGACCGTACAGAAACAAATGCAAGGTCGTGCCTAAAAACAACGGAACGTGCGTAATTAAACGCAAGGTGGCGCCACAGTGCACTAAACAGATCGTGAAGTACCTGCATGGTTCGTACAGGACTGAAATTTTTTCCAAGAACATTTTCATGAAATTCAAGGACATTTTCATGAAATTCAAGCACTTTTCAAGCACAAAATCAACATTTACTAAATTCAAGTACTTTTCAAGGACTCCCCTCAAATTCAAGGACTTTTCAAGGACTGTGCGAACCATGACCTGGCTGCGACTAGAGAACATCTTACGCCGCTGTATACACTGCTTACACCAGGCGGCGCAACAGTGAGCCAAGACGGACGCCACAGACACAACAATAGAACAGGTGTCGTTGAACCCCACGATTCTATTACACATGGGGTATAGTTGTAGTATTTCAACGACAGATGGCACTGCAGACTTTAGCGATTGAACGTCTGCTTCTCGTGACGGTAATTGAACGCCGTAAAGCGAGTCGTAAATCCGTAATTAAGGGCCATTAAATAATTAACGACTATAGACTATACCTCGCTCTGACCATTGATGGGCCAGGTAGAGCAATTCAGAGATAATGAACAGCCATTATCTAGATGAATTGACATGTAACAGTTGATGAGGGTAAAAGTAAATAGTGCACACAGGCCGTGAATACTAACCAACTGCACGTGATCAAGGCTAGTCGTTAAAGCTCAGTCTAGTTCTACTCAAAGACACGGCAAATATGTAGACTTTTGTTTGCCATTGATCATAATCACGCGTGACTTCACCCTCCTAAATAGAGTTACTTTAATATTGTATAATTTAATAGAAAGATGATACAATGCACTGTCAAACTTGTATACAAAAGAACCACTAAAGGGAAACCCCTAAAACTGCCGTTTATAAACAGCTGTACATGTTGGATCAATACAGGTGATGTTACAGGATAACTGCAACTCGAGAGATACGTTAAGTGTCCTCTATAGACAGGTGTGTGTTCGATAGAGTCGGCTTCACACTCAGGGTTCTCCCTACGTTGCGCAAACCGGTCGCGCGCGCCCCGTTTGGGGAAACCCCCCCGACTACACGCCGCTGTTTCAATCGTCGCAGCCCGATTAAAATTCCAGCCACACATAAAAAAGTGTTGAACAGCACGGGGGCTGATAGAACATGCGATCGTCCAGTATCAATTCCCATTCAAGCAAAGTGCGAACAATGCCCAAAGTAACAGTAGTACCAAAAACGCGAAAGTTTTATATAACCCTAGTGATGTAACGTGGAGCATTGCAGTACCCGACAAATGCACCATAGCTAGAACGATCACACTTACCCCCAGTTAACACTTCCTCCACATAAAAGCCCAACTGTAGTCTTCCTGTACAGTCCGAACCGGACAGTAGCTATTCATTAACAATATCGCAATGGGTACAGCGTCATCACACCGCGACTCCCCATCCTGTCGCCTGCGTGTTTGAGGACGTAGTGCTTTCCGTCCTTACCCAATTCGTGCTCGGTCACACCACCACAACACTGCGGAAGGATGCTTTTGTATCCCCCTATGTATTTAATATTTCTTATTAATTTACTTCTTGCTCTTTTTAGATTATTATATATTAAGTATTGGGCCTCCTGATGCTAGACTATAAGTTTTTTGAGATTGTGAGCCCGCCATCCCCCTAGTTTCCGGTGTTTCCCACCCACTCCCTTTCCCAGTCCTTTCCGTTTTCACCTCGTGACCCGCTCGCCCCTGCCAAGGCAGACATGCACACTGTCGTGCAATACTGAATTTGCTAACATGTAAATTATGATTTTATGGTTGAAAATAAGCCAAGGGCAGAGGAGGTGAGAGACTTACCGAAGCCAGCATGAGCACGCTCTCCTTCATCTTGGCCAAGCCGAATCTCGTGATACCAAGGACCTCGGTTTCATTTGCTGGGGGCTGCCACTTTCGCCCTGCCCCACACCCCAGCCAGCTTCCTTCTCAATAGACACGGAGGCCCCTCCACCCCATCTCTACGGACCCGTATTCCCAACCCCTGTCTTTCGAGCTGGCCTCTGGTGTGCGACAGCCACACCCTTTGGTGTGTGCTATTGCCAGAGTTCTGTCTCTCCCATTCCCCTTCTCTCTCTCTCTCTCTTTGATGCTCTTTTGCTCTCTTTTACGCTCTCTCCTTCTCTCTAGTCGCCGCCTCAATTTGTTCCTCGCCCTTCTTTTTTACCTTGTCGTTCACGAACCGCTCTTTTTCTTCCTCTCTCCCACTGCCTTATCTCCCACTCCTTCTCTTTACTTCTCTCCCTCCCTCATTCCCCTCCCTATCCCTTCTTCGTTTCCCTCCCTCCACCCTTCTTTTTCCTCTCTCCCTTCCAGCCCTCCCTCATTCCCTTTCCCCCTTTTCCCTCGTTCCTCTCCCCCCTCCCTCCACTCTCTCCCCTTCTCTCCCTCGCACTCCTCTCTTTCCCATTCTCTCCTCTCTCGGTCACTTCGTCTCTCCCACACGCCTCGAAGAGCGGTGATGCTCCTCCTCGCGTGCCCGCCGTCGGTCTCTCTCGTCGTTCGTTACCTTGAAGTGTTCATGAGGTCGTCTTCTCCAATCTCCTTACTCTTGTCTCCTCTCCCTTCCCCTCCCTCATTCCTCTCTTCATCCCCTTCATTTCCCCTCTCTCTTCCCTCCCCTCTCCGCCTCCTCTCTCCCCTCGTCTCTCTCCCTCCTCCATCCTTCGTCGTTCGTACCTTGACAGGTCATGAGGTCAGCGTAGCAGGTCATGACGTGTCCGTCGGTCCGATGCTCATGCCGTGGTTCACTCATCGGAGCGTGCACCCGTCGTGTAAATGATTCACCGCGCCGCTCAATACCGTTAGCGTCTTCTCCATCTCGACCGTGTTGTTTCGACCACCGCGCCGTGCCCTTAGCACGCCTGCAGATTATAAAAAACAATACAAAAAAAACGAGAAAAATGAATTGAGCGTTTCTGTCCGTCGCCACGTAACTTGCTGTCCTTGTCGCGTGCTGTCACTTGGTACTTTATTATTCTCTCTGTCTCATGTTTCGCTCTCTCCGCTCTTTTCCTCTGTCCTGCACTCATCGCTGTCTCTCGCCGCTCCGTGTGCTCTCTCTTTCTACTGCCTCTCTCTCTCTCTCACTCCTCTCTCTCCTCCTCTCTCTCCTCCTTTAAAAATTGTCCTCCTTATCTTACTTCTTGCCCTTGTTTGCTCTCTCTTCGTCCCGCTCTCTCTCTAATACCTCTCTCTCTTTCTCTTCTCTTCTTCTTCCTCGCTCTCAGTCTGTTTGTGCGTTTTGGCCTCCCCTCATCTCTCTCTTCTCTCCTCTACTCTCTCTCTCATCCGTCGTCTCATAGTCTCTATTCTCTCTCTCCTCTCTGTTTCTCGGCGTCACATTCATCTCTCTCCCTCTTCCCATTGCACTCGATCATCACCTCTCTCCCTGTTTAGCATGTGCAGTGTGTTTTACAAACGGGGTAAATTACCTGGAGTGGCAATGACTTGCAGGGCAGCACCGTCACTTCCACCAACAGCTGTAACTGGTAGAACGCCTTCTTCAATTTCCGCAGTGTAGACGGCTCGTCGACACGCTGCTGGATGCCTCTGCATAAATATTTTAAAAAAACAAACAGAATGAAAATGAAATAAAAAGTGAGACAGAAAAGGACGGTTTTTGTGGGCAAGGTCTGGATAGTAATACAAATCCACAAATCCATTTCTACACGATCGTCGCGCATTCACGTCATTACATGCACGATGCACACACAGTTCCGCGTGCATACCTACACCACTAGCACGCACGCAGCACGCGACGCACGCACGCACGCACGCACGGTATTACTCGGCACACAACAGCACACACACGCACCTTGATGACGACATTGGGCAGCGCGACCTTGAGGTGCTGCAGCACGTAGTAGAGGGAGCTCTTGTGCTTTCTCCTATGCGGATGCCGCACGC